TCATGTTTTGGGTGTACTATTCCTTTAAGAGAGTTCTACTGCCGCCCAGAACCAGACCTCGTTCATCCCATCTGCCTGCTAACGTGCCAGAAAGGTTGGCTGGTCTGAGCAGATTTACGGCTGAAGAGGAGCCGCTTATTCTGCAGAAAGAAAAAAACAAAAAAAAGGAGAAAATGTCGCCTTTAAGTCTGATTTTATGGATAAAAAACCAAAAACCAAAATCAAAACAAGTTGCTGAGAAACGAGCTTCAGTGTGAAGTTCTGCTCTATCTGAGCAGATGTTTGATCGGATGAGCTCTGGGTGTGAAACGGGTCACGTCTGCATCGATTTAATAACGCTGCGTGTGTGTGCGTGTGTGTGTGTGTGTGTGTGCGTGTGTGTGTGTACACTCACTTGGCCAGCTGCTTCTCTGCGTCCGCGCACAGCTCCAGCATTCCCATGAGCACCGCCGACACGTCCATGTACGGCTCCCAGACGGTGAAGCCTCGGCCGATCAGATCGATGGCGGTGCGGCGGATGGTGCTGTGGGCGGGAAGCTTGGGGCTGGGGGGCTGCAGCAGCAGGAAGGTCAGCGCCTTACCTGGAAACACAGCCCAGGGAGCCGCAGTCAGAGCTGAACAAACTATCCTCAAAGTCAGAGACAATCTGAAAGGTTACAGCTTCTCAGTCAGACGGTGATTGGAGAACGGACCATGGAGGCGGACTGAAAGAGACGCTGAGGAACCGCACTGATCCGGTTCATCATCCCTTTATTAAACCAGGAACTGACTCATCGTCAACATCTCAAACCGTCTCACAGCACGAAGTAGGCAAAAAGATGGCAAGAAACCAAGAGCAGAGGAGAAAAAAGTTATGAACATGGACGGTTCTGAAGGTTTTGGGTCCAAAGAAACCCGACCAGAACCAGGATCCACACATGACAGAGAGAAGAACCTTTCCAGCAGAGGCTGACCTACCAGAGTTACTCTGGAGCTTCAACAGGAACCAGAACAGCATCTCAGAAGGCCTCCCTGCCACTGCAACAACATCGCTTATTGCAAAAAAATAAAAATATTTGCCATGGAGGACTTCCGGTGGACGCAGAGCAAGATGGCAGCATAAGTTCAGGCTCCCTCGTCGAAGAAACAAAAAAACCTC